GGAGGGTGGCATCTTTCCTGAAACTTCGTAGACCAACATTGTGGGGTCGTAATTGTTTTGCCTCACAACGGGGGCACCATTCATAGGAACATCGAGTTGATAAGCAACGTCTTCTAAAGTAATCCTCGCTTCACCACTCGAAAAATGAAATGTGTGCATCTCGGGCCGCCAATGTTCGATCAGAGCCGGAATCAACATCGGGTACACCTTAAAGCCATGTACAAATATGACTGAAAATAGACCATATTGCTGAAGATATATCATCATCCGCTGATGCTGATGCGGATCTCTCGATGTCATCCCGCACTGACGAATGCTCCGTTCTTTTTCCAGTCGAAGTTCGATCGACGAAATATGAATATTATCGAGGCATAATATTTCTTTTTGACAAGCCATTTTTTGGGATTTTCACAAAAAGTAGGAAATTTTCTCGATTTTTATTTCGAAACAATATATGGTGAAAAACCAAAACCCCAACCCCTATTTATAGCCTCAATCCCAACGGCTATAAATGGCTATGGGATTTAAAAATCCGGCGGTGACGAGTTCCAAGTGACCGTTGTTATTGTTCCTTGACCAACAACCATAAGCGACTATATTTTTTGAATTCGAGGGAACTCGTCCATTATTTTTTTTATTTTTCAAATTTTAATGCCCACATAGGACCCACTCATCGGGGTCCATTAAAAATAATATCTTAAGGAACTCGTCACTCAGCTATACTGTAGCTTTTACCATATTCCAAAAAAAAATAAAAAGTCGGGTGCGTGTAACCCTAAATAAAAAACTCAAATGGCCTATTGGGGAAAAAAACCCGTAAACCAAAGCATCCACCAGATATATTCAGAACCAAAGCTCGTTAGTTTTGGCCCATTAGAGTAAGCTTTTCCAAGATATCATGTAGGGCCGATGGAGCATCTCTTGTTTGTTTTGAAACATACGTGGCGATTAGATTACAGAAAAATAGAGTTTAAAATTGATTCACTTGAGTTATAATGTATCTTAACAAATGGTTCTACGACAATGCAAAACAATATGAACATAGAGACAATCACAAGCTAATGTAACAGGATTGGGATGTAATGGGGATCAGAGACATATAAGACTGCAACAGTATAATTGATTTGCTTATAATTATTAACCGTGACAGATCAATAAGAGATATTATGTTTGATTCACATTGAAATACATTAAAAGATTTGGTATTGAAGGAAGTTAAAATTAGGTCGTAATGTAATTTTATTTGAATGTATTACTAAAAAAAATCATGGTTGACAAAAATTAAAGGTAGTCATAGACAAATTGATTTAGTGTTTTATTGTTTTCTCAATTAATTCCATATGTATTACACCATGATGATCTCTCCACTAAATCCTTCAATAAACATAGTCATCAACTCCCACTTCAAAGATTCCAAGATTCCTTTGACTTATAGGATTCAGCCTATGTTCAAATGCTATGATTCGACGGCTCAAGGAACCTCAATTCGCCGTCTAATGTCCGAGATCCAACCGTGTGCCATTGGGTGATAAATGAACTTCCACATGTAGTGGAAGGACCTATACAACATCATTAGATTCATTTGACTAATTTCTTTCCAGGAATATAAATTTTTATACGCCAATGGATACACTACATGTACGGTCCCTCTTGGATTTGAGTGTGACTCCAAGGCTTAAGCACCTTTCTTTTATTGGTAAAATGCTTTGAAAAAGAAGTGCGCACTCAGTCACGATCACTAGCACTTTCAGTAATGCGCAACATTATCGCTAAATATTGTCAGCAAATCTTCATTTTAATATTGAACCCCTGATTTGGCCATACTTAATTGATAACAACGATCAGTACAAAGCTTTTGGTTAGTTTGGCTTTTGCCTTGTACCATTTCTAGTTGTGATGGCGGCTGCCCATAGCATATTCTGTGATGGCCAAGTACTCTCTGATTATGCCCTATGTTTCTATTGAATCCAAGACCTGCGTTGTGCGAGCGTAATATATTTTAATTAAGGCAACGATATAGACTTAAACCGGTAATAAGTCAAATATTCAAGTTCAGGCAGGCAGGTTTATCAGCTTGGTTACTTTATGAATAACCATAAGCTATGTTTCCAAGTTTCAAATTAGTGTCAGATAAACGGCGTCTTACACCACCGATGCCCATGATCCGATATCAAGCCCGTAACCTTTCCTCCTGATCGTTTCTAGCTAAAGAAAATAACGGAACAGTCTTGACTGCAAAAGACTAATTGAAATTTACAATGCATGAGTTGTGGTTTCGTGACGCGTTAAATTGAAAGAAAAGCAATAACGAGGAGATGTTAATTTCATTAGTCCGGTTGTAGCTCAGAGAAAATTGATGGGCGAGGGCTTTTCCAGGTCAACTTTAGTGCTCTGCACAGTAAGTAGCCAGTAATATTACAGTTTCAAGTTAACATGGAAGAAGATATTCCGGTCGGCAGTGCCCCACAAAATCCTTCTTTGATGCTTATCATAATATCCGACCCACTGCACAAAATTGCCTGCCCTAGCTGGTCACGCAGCCATGGTTAACTCCAAAACAGTAACAACAACAAAAGATAAAAAGAATGCATTGCGGTAGAAAAAGGGGGAAATGCATAATATTTCAACCATCTAATGTTGAGCTGCCGGTACATAAGTCAAACAAGGTATAAAGTGATTCTTCGAAATTACTCCGAAAGATACTTGAATTTACCACTTTTCTTCGAAGAAGAAAAAAAAGAATGCAAAATAATCTAGTATCGAATTTACTACTTTTTTACATGTCTCTTTTATGCTTCAGTTATGGCCATTCCTCGGTCACTACAGAAAAAATACAGAACTTGGGCGTTAATCTGCAATTTTGCAGTCTTACAGAAAGCTATCGAATCACGAGCTCTTTCTTTACTTAAAATTTTAATCGAAATGTAAATTAAAAGGCGGCTTGACTGTAGCAGAAGTGCTTTCATGATGATTTTACGGTGAATGAACGGTAAAAATATAAATACATGTATTATTCCAAGTTGTTACCGAGCACCTGAACATGTGGTTGAAGGCAGATTAAAGGACCAAATTAAAAGAAAGTCAAGTGTATGTAAATTAACATTGGTTTTACACCAGGAAAGTCTCATTCAGCTAGCAAATGCGTGCAAGTTTCTTCCACCAGATTACATGCAATCTTGACCCAATTACAAAATATGATTGCATGAGACATGCAGAAACAGCAGTACATCACAGGACAAGCACAAATATTGTCCTTCCAAAGAAATAAACCCAAGGGGCCATGGATAATAGCAACACATTGAATATATAGTTGGTAACCAACACCAGCATGCCGGCTTCGTAAGTCTATAAATAGCTAGAGAGGCAAAAGAATAATCAGTCATCACTACTGTAATAACTTCCTTTCACTTACTTCTTTCGTTGTCTTCAGTCTCTTTGAATATACTTATTCCTTCTTAATTTTGACTTCACCCCAATGTCCCAAAGCAACCTCATTTTAGCCGGTACACTTCTCCTTATCTTATTGTTGACTTATGGAGCCACAATTAGCGAGGGAATAAGGGTTTTTGAAGCTGAGAAACTGGATGGTCCCGGAAACCACGTAACAAAGATGATGAGCGGGCAGAACAGGAACACTTTAGAGGATGCATCAGAGGGCGTTGTCCACAACGCATACCGGACTAATGATGTCCGTCCGACGCCTCACGGTCACAGTCCTGGTGCGGGTCACTCTACTGGACCTGCCAGTAATGACAATAACTAGATTTATTACACCTAGTTTATATCTATGTTGCTTTTCTGTATAATCTCATAGGGCAATCCTATGATAAGTGCTCTAAAATTATTGTTTTTGTCCCATGAAATACATATAAAAAACATGCATAAATTTAGAATACAGGAAAAATACATTAATGGTATATTAATTAGTCATATATTGCAAAGTACATGCATATATTAAAAAACTTAATTTACACAATCTTAAAAACATTTTTCGTAAAATCTAAATCTTCTAACTATCTCTAATTTTAATTTCTTGTTTCAAAAAAGTATGATTATATTTGCCGTTAGAGACGAGGGCATATATATATATTAGAAACGAATTTATAAAAATTTAAGGAATTAAATTTGTAAAATTTTTACAAATAAAAATAAATAATCAATAAAAATAGATAAATTATATGATAACTTAAATTTTTAGTGCGGATAACTACTCTATCACTCTCTTGCTCTGTTCGTATTCGCAACTTAACAAAAGTTGACACTACAATATATTGAGTGTCTATATTCAATTTTCATTGTACATAAATAATATGTGGGTTACCTGTAAATTTATTTTTATTTATTCTTGTTATGTATGAGTTTTTTCTAGAAATACTCTGCTGTAGTTTTATTCAATTATTGATTTATATTTAATTAATATATTTCTTCTGATATAAATGTATGGTGTGATTTTTAAAAATAATATGGAAAAACACGTCATCTAATTATTATTTATGATAAAGTCAACTAAGGAGGTACTTCTTAACTCGACTATCTTTATAGACCACTATAAATTATTTTATTGAGGCTTGAATTCATTTAAAAGGAAACAGGCTAGAGAACTTGAAGAAAATGTTATGTAAATTTAAAATTTGAATTTTGATTCTAACTTTACAGTAGTGTAATTAAATAAAAATAAATTATTCATTTAGTATTCCACCAAAAATGTATTGAATCTAAATAAGTTTATATGTGGATTTTTCGCATGACTGTTCAATTAATTTCTTAACAGAAGTACTTAGATAAATACATTTTAATTTGAATATATTATATGTTTTTGAAGTTCTTAGAGACTATTTGATTATTATCCCAAATCTAAGAACTAAATGTTGCCTTAAATACAAATTCTATCTCGTTTCATCGATATGAACGGTTGTGATCAAATCGTCCGAGAATCGCATATCTCATCTAGCAATTAAAACTACAACCGCGTATCATGTTTCTCAGCACTCTTCGTTAAATCCTCTGCGTAGACCCTAGCCCTGCTTTCTTTTTCTCTTCTATTCTTTTTGTTTTCCGGGGAATATTTAGAAGCTAAAACTCAGATTCAAATCTAATAAACATTTGATTTAACCTTTTATTTTATTTTTAATTAAAAAAGAGTTAGTAATTATAGTAATAAAGAGATAAGGATGCGGCAAAATAGTGGCTCGGATTCGCAGCCACCAGCGCAACCTTCGCAAGAACACCACCAACGCCAACAACCGCCACAATTGCATCCGCAGTGGGTGGCGATGCAGTGTCCGACGGCAGCTATGGTAATGCAGCACCGGATGATGCAACCGCAGCACTTAGTGGCGCCGCCGCCTCCACCTCAGCACTACCCGTCATATCACCCTCATCATAATCAGTTCCAGCAGCACCAGGGAACCGCGCATCACGCGCAGCAACAACAAGGATCCAGCGGTGGCGGAGAGAACAAAACCATTTGGGTTGGTGATTTGCACCCTTGGATGGACGAGAACTACCTTCACAGCTGTTTCGCTTCTACCGGCGAGGTTCAACAAAATTATCTCATAAATATATTTATTTTAATTTGCTATTATTTATATTGAACTCTCTTTCTATTTTTCTTTTCAATGATATCGGTTATTTATTATTACATTGTCATTGTCGTAGTTTCTCTGCAGTCACGGCATCATCTGATATTGATTTAATTAGTTCGAATTATTGATTAATGATCTGTTGTCTTCTTTAATCCATGTATACAGTCGTTGGAGTGTGATTGGGACACTTGTATAGTACTGTTTATGGAAATATTTTCAAATAAAATTCATCTCCATCGACAATTAAGAAAATCATTGTCGAATGGTAAATATTTCTTTAAATAGCAATCTTAACGAGCTCTTTAGGTCTTAGTTAGGGGAAAAGATAAGATCTGCACTATGATTAAGGCATTTGGTGCCTTTTAGGCGGTTGGCAGCCGTATGGTTGTATAATTGATTGCTCATCGAATGCCTCGAATGAGATGAGTGTGAACTAGTAAACTGATTGCATGATGAGGGTCAATACCTTAATTTGCCATTTAAGGCTTTTATAAAGAAATAATACATAGAACTAATTGAGTAGAGCCTAAAATAAGCTTCGAATTTGATTTTGACGTATGTACATATAGTCTGGGAATGTCCAAAAGTTTAGAGAAGTCATTATTTTAAATGGTTTTGGAATTTTATGAATAAAAAATGTTTAAATTTAGCGTCAAATTCAAGATAAATTAAAAGGATCTTTTTCTGACTGTTTGAGCTAAATTAGATGTGTCGTGTATGCAACAAGTTTGTTGCATTTTAATTAAATGTTAGGTTAGCACATAGTGGTAGCGAGGCTGCATAAGTTCAAACCAAGCATTGTTGAATTGAGAAGACAGAGGAATCTGTGTGAAAATAAAGTTAAAGAAACATTGGACTTTGTTTTTAAGTGTTTTAATTGCTTGCCAAACTTAAATCGACATTTGCAATTCTTTTTAGCAGATTTCATCCATCAAGGTCATCCGCAATAAGCAGACTGGCCTATCAGAAGGATACGGATTTGTGGAATTTTTTTCTCATGCAACGGCAGAGAAAGTTCTCCAAAATTATAGTGGCAGTTTGATGCCTAATATGGATCAACCTTTCCGCCTAAACTGGGCAACTTTTAACACGGGAGATAAGCGCTCGGAGAATGGTCCTGATCTTTCTATTTTTGTCGGAGATTTAGCTGCAGATGTTACTGATAGCCTATTGCATGAAACTTTTGCTAGTAAATATCCTTCTGTTAAAGCTGCAAAAGTCGTAATTGATGCTAATACTGGTAGATCTAAGGGCTATGGCTTTGTGAGGTTTGGGGATGATACTGAGAGGTCAAATGCCATGACTGAAATGAATGGTGTATATTGTTCAAGCAGGCCTATGCGTATCAGTGCTGCAACTCCCAGGAAATCCTCTGGTTATCAGCAACAGTATTCTTCGCAAGGTATTTGATTACTTAACGTTCTTTCTCTTCGTGCGCATTTTGCTTAAGCTTTCAAGCATTGGTATTTTAAATTCTTAGAACATTGTTTAAAGATTTACATTTATTGCTTAAGTGCTTACGTTTATCACCTTTTTGACTTGTCTCCGCTGTATGCTTCTAGATGATTTTCCCCCTCTTTGAAGATCCTGTGCAATTCTTGATGCAAAAGTTAACTTCACTCTTGCCCACCTGCTTTGACTTAATTTTTGCTCTGAGGAAATTTCTGATTCCTTTCCACTGTTTACAAATGTCTATTCTGGCTCTCTTGTTGTTTGTCTGATTCATTTTTGGTTATTAGAATGTGTTGGTATGAAATAGTAGGTTGGTCGAGCAATCAAATGCTAATTTTCTGTTTGGGGAAAAATTCCAATTTCCCCATTCCCTTGGGCTACTAGGTTTAGCTTCTTTTGTTATGGCCTTTTAAATTTTTCTGTTTATAATTACTGTCCTTTTGTTGTGCGATCATGTAAATTGTTTTACCATGATAAATTTCTACGGCGATTTCAGATTTATGTGGTTAGCAACAACAACAACAAAAAAGCAGGAACTATTAGAAACTTGGTTAATCCATTGCCTGTGGTAAGAACTAGTATTATGATAGACTGTTACAATGAACTGCAGATTTGAAGAAGTTTAAGCGTATAACGGTTATTTTATCTACATTGTTTTGTAAAACAGGAACCTCCTGATTGTGGTTACAGGCTGTAACCTTCTTGCTCACCTTTTCTTTTTGGAGTAAATCTTAAAATTGGCTTTTGTAAATGTGACAATTGTGTAATTTCAAATTTGCATTGTAGAAGAATGCCAGTGTCGGGAACACTGCATACATGCAGATGATTCTTTACATCGTTTTATAACTGCACCCTGACGCAATTAGTTTGGGGCGGTTCACTGTTGTTCATTCTTATCTCATCTATTTTTTTTTCTTGTTATGGTTTAAACCTTTTAAGATTTTACTTCATATTTGTTTCCTTTTGTTCTTGGAAGGTGGCCATGCATTAAATGGTGCTTCAACCCAATCTGATGGAGATTCTTCAAATACAACCGTGAGTTTGCGTTTCTTTCCACTTTTACTCAGGGTTATAGCCATTTGTATCCCTTTGCTAATCAAAACTTATTTTAGATATTTGTTGGAGGGCTTGACCATAACGTGACCGAGGGAGATCTCAGGCAACCTTTCTCCCAGTATGGTGAAATTTTCTCTGTTAAAATACCTGTTGGGAAGGGATGTGGGTTTGTACAATTCACTAACAGGTACAATTTCTAATTATATTGGCTTTGCCATTAATTTACCGTTTGTACTAATATTAGAGGTGTATGATAGGTACTATTGAGTTACTACCTTTATTGACACTTCGAGTCTAAACAGGAACAATGCTGAGGAGGCGTTGCAGAAGTTGAATGGAACTATAATTGGCAAGCAAACAGTGCGACTCTCTTGGGGTCGCAATCCAGCAAATAAGCAGGTATCTATTGCTGATCACCAGTCCCCCACTTTATCCCCCTTACATTGTTCATTGCCAGCATTAAGAAAGCTGTCACTACGTGCTTCGTGGAAATGGACGACGTCTAAAAAGTCGAGTGGTTATCTGATGACATTTTCTGTAACACCCCTTTGAAAAATCATGTTAGCTATTTATTTGAATAAATTATCTGCATTTGATGTTTTTATTATTTTGGGATAATACTGCAGTTCAGAGCAGATTATGGTAACCAGTGGGGTGGAACTTACTACGGAGGAGCTGTGTATGATGGTTACGGGTATGCTCTGCCATCACCTCACAATCCGGCCATTTATGCAGCTGCATATGGGGCGTATCCATTCTATGGCAGTTATCAGCAACAAGTAAACTGAAATAATAACAGCAGAAGAAAGTATCTCGTCAGTAGACAACTCACACTAGAGGAGAGGTGTAGCTTTCTTGGTTGTGTAGAATTCTTATAAATCCCTCCAGATGTGGAGTGGAGCTGAATTTTGACCCCTTAAGTAGGATATTTTAGGGTTTGGATTGATCATTTGTTTGATTTTCTCCGAGTTTAGAAGGGAAACTTGGTGATTCGAATGTATGACTTGGATGACGTGTGTGGTCACGAACAAATGCGAACAATGGCTACCTGTCGATCAGTTCGACCATATGGGTTAGTCCGAGTAATAATTATGATTCATATTTATTTGGAAGACTGTTAACTTGGATAGCGTTTCAGTTTTCTTATAGAACATTATTAAGCGTGGTTTATTTTTTTCAAATCTCAAAATAATCTTGATACTAAGATAATAAAAGTTCAAAAAAACAACTTTGGAAAGAAAGTGTTTTTCAAATTATTTTTTATTAGGTTTAAATATTTTGTGCACTATTCAATTTTAACGGTTTGATGTAGTATTATCCGTTTTTAAAAGTCTTAATACCAAAATAAGTGTTTAAATTATTCCGCTTTTTCCGAATAGGTGTTTAAACTATTTTTTGATTCATCCAGGTGTCTAACGATACAAACGTTACTCATTTAGGTGTATAGGCTGTCAATGACGTTAAATTCTCTGTTGAGTGACACGTGTCATAATCTAACACTTTTAAGATTTTTATTAAAAATTAAAATTATACATGTTTTTCTAAAGAAAAATGAACATTTTGAAATAACCTAAAAACTTTAAAAACCTTCATATCAACCCCTAAAACCACATTGGTCGTCACCTTTTGTCGTCGACGAAGCTCCATCCAACCTCATCGAGGTGCCTAACGTTACATTCGTTACCCATCTAGGTGCCCAGATCGTCAACAACGTTAATTTCTCTGTTAAGTGACACGTGTCATAATATAGTAATTTTAATTTTTTATTAAAAATTAAAAAATTAAAAACATATATATTTTTTAAAGAAAAACATAAACATTTTAAAATAACCTCAAAACTTTAAAAACATTCATTTCAACCCCTAAAACCACACAGTTATCTCCATTTTCCGTCGACGAAACTCCACCCCTAAAATATATATATTTTCTTGTAAAACACAACCTAATTGTGGAGGTTGGCTTCGTGGTGTGAGGGCTTGGTTATAAGGTCAAATCCCCCAACACGATTTTGGCTTTCTTTGCAATTTAGTTTTCCTTCATCGTGTCACCATCATCTGGTTAGAAGATAAATAATTAAATTAAATAAATTTAAATTAAAAATAATTTAATCTAATGGTGACATATGTCACCTCTTGATTGGATGATTAATTTATTAAATAAAATTAAAATTAGGACCAAATTGATTGAATGTACAAGTATTGGGGATCAAATATGTAATTATACTAATTTTATTAACTATCACGTAAGCACTTTCATTAAATACTAACGTCGAGTGGCTATATTGAACTCAATTAAATAGTTCAATAGTTATATTGACATAATTTTAAAAATGGTGGTCATTCTGATACGAACCCAATAATTTGATGGTCATTCAAGTAGTTTATTCAAAAAGATTTAGAACAAGTAAATAAATTTGTGGTTGTGTTTACCTACATTCTTATGTTGTTTCTGGAAGTTTCCATTAAGTTGTTATTTTTTCGTAGTTTTTCTTTAATCCTATGGTGACGTGTGTCATCAACTAGTTGGAAGATAAATAATTAAATTAAATAAATTTAAATTAAAAAAATATCATTTAATATAATGGTAACATGTGTCACCTTCTGATTGGATGTTAATTTATTAAATAAAATTAAAATTAGGACTAAATTAATTGAATGCACAAGTATTGAAGATCAAATATGTAATTACACCATTTTGTTAACTACCATGTAAGCACTTCCGTTAAATACTAACATGGGGTGGATATATTGAACCGAATTAAATAGATCAATAGTTATATTAACACAATTTTAAAAATGATGGTCATTCTAATACCAACCCTATAATTTAGTGATTGTCGCAACCGTCTTTCGGTTGGGCCCCGAAATTGGGCTTCGACTTGAAAATGTGGATTGGAGTCGCCACCGACCATTTTAAAACGAATTTAGGTGGGTCGGACACCATCTTACCTGATCTGCGTTGTACCAGAAACGTGTCGGGTTCGGGAGTCAGTTACTGTCAAGGAAGGATTAGCACCCTTGAACTGCCCTTTCGGTACCAATTAATTTGTCGGTTATTTTAATTACGAAAAATTAAAATTTAAATCAAAATTTAAAAATTCAATTCGAATTACTTACCGTTGACTAGTTAAAAGTGTACCCTAAAAGGTCAAAAATATTAGATAAAAAGTATTAAATAAATATTAAATAAATGAAATGAAAAAAAAATAACAAAAAAAAGTAATAATATAAAATAAAACTCATAATGATTGAGGGGCCATATGGAGAATTTACCCAAAATTAAAAATACTTGGGACTTTGTTTTACTTTCACGAAGAAGCCACAGAATTGGTCACAAATGGTTGCACATTTCCACGTGCATTTTAGATTGCTCTCACATACCAGTTTGTGGATAATCGAGGGTTGAACCTTCTCGTGTAAGTACTCTGAGCCCCTTGCCGCATCAACTGCAATTCTTACCCTCTGCATCTAGTTGAGAATTGGCCTCGGTTGTGCCCCTTGAACCCCCTTCCTTCCATGCAAAATGTCATGAAGCGAATCCATTGTTGCAAACTCATAGGCAAGCGCACGGTGATTTCATTCAACATAGCAACCTTGCACCTCGACAAAATTGTCATGCTTCAGTCTTGAAACCATGGGAAGCGATAGTTTGAGTTAAGATTCATCGTTGTTTCTTGCAACTTCAACGTGTACGTAACCGTAGCCCCCGATGTTTCATCGGATGGTGGTGTGGGAGCCATTAGTTCAGGCATCGCCCTTAGAGTTCTTCCTCGTAAGACAGTTTCCACCGTCGCTTGGCAAACACGACAGTTTCCACCGTCGCTTGGCAAACACGACAGTTTCCTGTCCATAAAAATACCGACGGTTCCGTTCAAAGGATTCACCGTTCTCCCACAAGCTTCGAACAAAAGTGATTGGAATAAAGCAGGACGTTGAGACGGTCGTAGTTTTTGAGGAGGATGGGCCACTGGGAAGTGCCGATGGAAGGGGTGGTACTCTGGGGTTTGATCATGAAATCTTGCTCCGATTCTTTGGCTTCACCATGTCAATGGGCAAGCAAGAATTTGCGTCCACCTCCCCCAACACTGGTTATCGGTTCGTGAAGACCTGCATGTGGCAATCTTTGACCAGCAATATCCTTGTTCTTCGATGGCAGCCTCCAGTCTCGAGTCTTCTTCTTCAGTCCACGTGCCTACATTCAAAGCTGGATCTAGAGAATTCACCTGTTAACAAACCGACAAAAACAACATGAACACAGCAAAAAGTCAAAAATCTTTATTTATGTTCATTAAAATAATGTAGAAATGGGAAAGAAAGGAGAGAGAAGAAGAGTTATTTTCTAACTGCAGCAGCGAATATACAATTTATAACATTAATACTTCGAATTAGGAAATAAAAGAAGGAAAAATAAAAAAATAAATTGGAGGTAATCTATTTTCGTATTTGCAAAAGAGTGAGTGAAGAGATTGGAGCAGCTTAGCTTCTGCATAGGTTAGCAGTGAGTGTGGTGTTGAAAACTCGTTGGCATCTCGGATTTAGCCATGTGCACGATGTAAGTCTTCCTACGGCTCTTCTCCTTCCCCGATGTTGCAACCATGGACAAGTGGTAGAAACCCAGAAGCAAAACAATCATAAAACACTTAACCATCCCCATTTTTGTGCATTCTTGGATATTAATTTTTGTTTCACATGACTTCATATCCTTTTTTTTTAACTGAGCCCCCGCCAAGAACTCCTTCTCCCCCCTAAAACCAAGATGATGGCCCCCTTAAAAAGAAGAGAGAAAATGTAACTAAAAGGAGAAAATTATGGGATTTGTTTTGAGTTAGTGGGGGTAGTGGTTGCACAATGGAAGGGGAAAGTTGTTGGGTAGTGTCTGAGTGGGTTATTGTTTTCTAACTATGTGGGGTGCAAAAAGTTAATAAAATATTGAATGAATGGTTAAAAAAAAGTGTGTTTACAGCTGCCCCTCTTTGTCCATAGTCGTGTAACGGGTGTAGGACAAAGATTAAAAGACACATTTTTTGTTTAACATGAATGTATCCAAATTTAACACCATCCATATAGGGGTGAAATCCCATCGAATATCCTCTGTTTTAGAGTTGAAATCCGATATTTGGTCTAAAACACAAAATGAATCCCTCGCCGTGAGTTGAACTAGAAAATTCTGAGCATGAAATCCTTCGTTGTGAAGTTGAAAACGAGCTCAAAGCTTTTGACAAGTGGCCTCTGAATCGTCTTCTGGCTCAAGATACTTCGTCGTGAAGGTGGAACTTGAACTGAAGACTTTGGTGTTGTGATGTTACAGATGACCCCTTCGTCGTGAGGTTAAGTCAATCCGTTGGGGTATGATACCCTTCGTTGTGAAGTTGTACATGTATATGGCCCCTTTGTCGTGAAGTTGAGCCTGGGAATTGGATATCCTTCGTTGTGAAGTCGAAATCCAAGTAAGTTGTATTGTTTTGAGACCAATATCCTTCGCCGTGAAGTTGAAATCGGTTCTGGAACTGGAAAGTTTATTGACAGACACTCCTTCTTTAAGTTGGATATCCTTCGTCGTGAAGTTGAAATCCAATCTAGAGATGGATGCTGCTTGTGTGCACGATTCCCTTCGTCGTGAAGTTGAAACCGCGGGTGGCCCCTTCGTCGTTAAGCTGAGCCTGGAATTGGATATCCTTCGTCATGAAGTTGAAATCCAAGTAAGTTGTATTGTTCCAAGTCCAATTTCCTCCGCCGTGAAGTTGAAATTGGCTCTGGAACTGTGAAATTGTTTGTTGACAACCAGCGGTCCCTTCGTCGTGAAGTTGAACTTGCGTTGTCTGGAGTCCAATATCCTTCGTTGTGAAGTTGAAATTGGTTCTGAAATTGAGAAATTGTTTATTGACAACCAACGGTCCCTTCGTCGTGAAGTTGAACTTGCGTTGCCTCGAGTCCAATATCCTTCGCTGTGAAGTTAAAATTGGCTCTGAGAT